ACTGAGATAGTAATGCTAAACTCTAAAAAGAATGTTTTAAAGGGGCAGATTCTCTGGAATAGGGATCCCCTTCTGCAAGGAACTGAGATATTAATGTTAAACTCTAAAAAGGATGTTTTAAAGGGGCAGATTCACTTAGGGAATAGGGATCCCCTTCTGCAGAATTAAGCAGGGGGAGCCATGAAGGAAACCTCCTCAGAGAAGTCCATTTTAAGCAGGGGGAGCCATGAAGGAAACCTCCTCAGAAAAGTCCGTTAGGGTACATCTAGACTACACAGCTTTTTCGAAAGAGGCTTTTTCGAAAGATACTTTTGAAAAAGCATCTTTCGAAAAAGAGCATCTAGACTACAACCAGTACTTTCGAAAAAGCAAGACGCTTTTTCAAAAGAGAGCACCCAGGCAGTCTGGATGCGCTCTTTCGAAAAAGAACAGTTTGCATTACCTAGCGCCTTTTTTGGAAAGAGCACTTTAGAAAAATGGCATTCTGCCTCTTAAAATGAGGTTTTCCGCGGTCGAAAAAACTGCTGTGTTCTTTCGATTTACTTTTGAAAGAACGCGGCAGCAGTCTAGATCCAGAGGAAGTTTTTTCAAAAAAAGGCCACTTTTTTCGAAAAAACCCTGTAGTCTAGACACATCCCTTACTGTTCAATGTAATGTTCCTGAACTTTGAATACTATCTCCCGGTACAAAGCAGGCCTCTTGACTTGAATATTTACCTCCCTTAAATCGCTGTAGAAAACCCGTTTCTGATCTTCTGTGTGATCAGACAGAGACATTCATGCAAGCGCCTCTCAGAGACACCAACCCTTCTTTGGATGTTATTGACTTGCAATTAAATCAGGTGACTTTTGTGCAAGGCTGCTCACGTAAGGAAAATTCCCGGCGTTCTATTTTTCAGATTCTTTTTTCCCCAAAGTCTCCGTTTGGATGGTGTTTCTGTGCGTGAGCCTGGTGGCTTTCTTTGTCTCCATTGGTCTTACTCTCTACCTCTTCAAAGTAAAAGGTAAAGTGTCACTGAATGAAATACCGTACAGTACCATGGGAAAGAGGGCAGTAGAATTCCATTGAGTCAGCTTAAAGGGTTTGGGTTCATTTACGTGTCTTGCTGGGTGCAGGTGGGGCAGAAATTCAGGTTCTAAGCCACGTGTCCCTCAGCTTTGGGGGTGCGGTCAGGTCCCCAGATCCTGGGGAGGAGGGGCCATAAGTACCCTAAACATCATTCACTCCATAGACAAAATGTGGCTATTTCCATTTTAATGCTTACCGGGCAGTACCGTCACAAAAAAGCACTGGTTGATTAATCTAATTTTAACATCTCTAGCCTACACAAGACCAGGCAGGTCGGCTTAAGGTACGCCATCCAGCTACACAAAATGCCAAGCCACCAGAGGGTCTACCCTGCAGGGGACTGATGGGAACACACTATGATTCTATGCTTCCTCACAGAATGAGGAGTACAAGACGCCAGCAGGGGCTGCTCTCGCCATTCGATTTGGCGGCCTATACTAAGGCCTACACGCTAAGTTGAACACTAGAAAATCGACCGCCGGAGTGTCGGTCTTCTCTGTAGTGTTGACATGCCCATACTGATTTAAGGAAATTCCTTGTTCCTACATGTGGCTTCTGCAGTGTGGAGAGGCATGGATACATTTTGCCAATGAAGGAAGCAGTCCTTTAACTGTGGAGAAGAAAAAATAACACACACTGCTCAATAACGTGATTCTGTTTTGGTTTGCTTTTCAGAGACTCTTGTTGCAGAACTTAGTAAGTCTCAGTCACCATCAGTATCTTTTGTGCTAATGTGTATGCATGCAGTGGTCTTTGTTGGCTTTGTGTACGTCTGTGTGGCGGGGGGATAGGGAGGTATTTAGGGAGTTGGCTGGGGCTTTGTGATATATCAGGTGATGCATGAAAAAATTCACACCAAAAGCAAAAGTCTTATCTTATTTGGCTAAAAGCAACACATTTGCCTCAACTTGCATACTGACCATGTCACATAACATAATAAAGGCATTGGATAAAACATGTAAGAGAAAGGAAACAACCAAACGTTTCAACTTTACAGTAAAGACACGAAGGCTCACAATTGTTTCTTTGGCTCAAGAGATGTTCAAATGTGCTTAACTATTTAAATCCAGGCTGGGTATCTCTCTAAGGGTACGTCTACACTGCACTGTTATTTCGGGATACCGGAGTATCTCAAAATAGCTATCCCACGTCTTCACAGCAAGCCCGTTATTTTGGGCTCACTATTCCGACATCCCTGTAAACCTTGTTCCACAAGGAGTAAGGGACGTGTCAAAATAGCGGGTTATTTCAAAATCTGGCGCTGTGTAGATGCACCCTAAAAGAGCTTCTTCTAGCTCATATGGATGTTACAGGCTTGACAAAGGAATAACTGAGGAAAATTATCTGGCCTATGGAATGCAGATGAGACTAAATGATTACACTGGTTTCTTCTGGCCCTATAATCTATAAATAAGGAATGCAGGTTCCCAGGACTTTCACTGGGGATTCTGCTCTTAATTTGCTTAGGGGGATTTGAAAATCCCAGCCCAAGTAAACAGTGAATGCATGAGGAATGTATTCAAATAGTAATATTTTCCAGTACAAATTGAACTTCTCTAGTCCAGCACCTTTGGACCAAACCAGAGAATTTGCCAGACTACGGGCAAACAATATTGTCTAACAGTATTACCAACCCTTCCACTGCTCTTAGGGCTCTTAGGGTACATCTGCTCAGCAGCGAATAACTGACTTTTTCCGAAATAACATAGTGCGCGTCTGCACTACAAGCCTATATTTCAAAATAATGTCCAGCTGGAGGACTTCTTACTCCGACTTATGGTAACCCTCATTTCACAAGGAGTAAGGGAAGTCGGAGGAAGAGTGTTCTGCCTTCCACTTCCAGCTGTGTAGCTAGCGCCAAAAGCCGAATGAAGCTATTTCGACTTCAGCTACGCAATTGACATAGCTGAAGTTGCATAGCTTAATTCGACTTTAGCCCTGCTGTGTAGACGTACCCTTAAAAGACATTTAGAGGTAAATTAGAGCTAAATCACAGCACCGAACATTGAGAGCCAGGACTGGTGGCTGTAAAAAAACTTTATGAGACCACAGGAAACTTGGCCACACCAATGATAAGTGTACACCCGGCTAACTAACATCAAGTTGGACCACACATATTGCCAGACCAGAGAGTGCCAGACTAGAGAGCTGCGTCTAGATTGGCATGATTTTCCGGAAATGCTTTTAACGGAAAAGTTTTCCGTTGAAAGCATTTTCGGAACAGAGCATCTAGATTGGCACGGACGCTTTTCCGCAAAAGCACTTTTTGCAGAAAAGCATCCATACCAATCTAGACGCGCTTTTCCACAAAAAAGCCGCGATCGCCATTTTTGCCATCGGGGCTTTTTTGCGGAAAACAAATCTCAGCTGTCTACACTGGCCCTTTTGCGCAAAAGCTTTTGCCTGAACAGGAGCAGCATAGTATTTCCGCAAGAAGCACTGATTTCTTACAGTAGGAAGTCAGTGCTTTTGTGGAAATGGAAGCGGACAGTGTAGACAGCTGGCAAGTTTTTCTGGAAAAGCGGCTGGTTTTCCAGAAAAACTGGCCAGTCTAGACACAGCTGAGAGGTTCAACCTGCATTGCTCTAAATCGTTTAAAACAAAGATTAAGGATTTTATGCTACTTCTACTGACTTTAACTAGACCACTATCAAGCCCTATTCCTCATGAAATTGTAGTACATCAGTCAGCAAACTATGATAACCATTTATTAATACATAGTTATATAGTTAATGCAAACTCTGATCCTGAAACCAGTCTGTTTAAATGTGTAACCTTTGAGAGAGAATTGCTGGTTCCACATCGGACATAATGAGGAATTTTTCATGAAAATATTTTTGATGAAAAATACTGGGTTCAAGAAAATTTCACATTTCCTATAGAATGGGGTCAATTCTTGTTTGTCTTTTCCCACCAGACAATCAAAAGAAAGCATTTTATTTCGAGTTGGATGTACATTAGCCTATGCACCTCTCATCCCCCTGCACCACTACAGTACTCTGTGGGATCTGTTGTTCAGAAACATTATGTGTCAGTGCACTACGTCTCCCAAGATACATTGTGCTCTTTCCTCTGGCTGATCCTGGAGACACGAAGTACCTGAACTACAACTCCCATGAGCCAGTGTAGCAGCCCAAGCAGACAGATTAATATGAAGCCCACCAGCATAAAAACATAAGAACGGCCATACTGGGTCAGAACGAAGGTCCAGCGAGCTTTGAGTCTTGTCTGTCGACAGTGGCCAATGCCAGGTGTCCCAGAGGGAGGAAATAGAACAGGGGATCATCACCCTCTCCTGTCACCTGTTCTCAGCTTCTGGCAAACAAATGCTTTGTTTTGGATCAGGGATGTGAGGATAGTCTGTTCTGCAAAACACTGGCATGTTTCAAACGTATTGGTCCCAACTCAGGACAAAAACAAAGTCAAAACGAGCGGAACTTCCCGTTGGATGGAAATTCCATTTCAAAACCAGTTGTACTATTTATATTATGGTAAATGTTCAGGGACGTTACATTTCCCGCCAATGTATCATTTTCGGCAGTGTTTATTACATTGCAGAGGGGTAGGTGTGTTAGTCTGTAACTTTAAAAACAATGAGTGGTGTCGTGGCACCTTAGAGTCTCACCATAATATATAGGATCCCAAGCTTTCATGGGTAAAGCCCACTTCCTCAGATGAATTGGAGTCACAGAATCATTGGGCTGAAAGAGACCTCAGGAGGTCATCGAGTCCAACCCCCTGCCCAAAGCAGGACCAGCCCCAACTAAACCATCTTATCCAGGGTTTTGTCAAGCCAGAGAGTCTCCAATTCATCCTCATGTGTGTTTTACCCACGAAAGCTCAGGATTCTATATATTTTGGTTAGTCTCTAAGGCTATGTCTACACTGTGGGGTTTTTCCAGGGTACCGGAAAACTCTGCTGTGTCCAGGGAACGCGTTTGCTCTTCCGCTTTTTTTCGCAGAAGAGCAGGCGCGCTCTTTCGGGGAGCCCTGTATACTTCATTCTACAAGGAATAAGGGCTTCTCTGAAAGAGGAGGCTTTCTCGCCATTTGACCCCGTCTACGTGGGGCCAAATGTCAGAAAAGCCTCTTCCAGAAAAGCAATTGGAAAAAGCTATTGTGTAGACATATCCCCAGGGTACGTATACAAAGCAGGGGAAAAGTTGAATTAAGATACGCAACTTCAGCTGAAGTCGACCCCTTGCTTAATTCGGTGCTGTCTACACAGCAGGAAGTGGAGGCTAGACATATCCCCAGGGTACGTATACAAAGCAGGGGAAAAGTTGAATTAAGATACGCAACTTCAGCTGAAGTCGACCCCTTGCTTAATTCGGTGCTGTCTACACAGCAGGAAGTGGAGGCAGAACACTCTTCCCCCGACTTCCCTTACTCCTCGGCTGTGTCTAGACTGGCAAGTTTTTCCGGAAAATCAACCGCTTTTCCGGAAAAACTTGCCAGCTGTCTACACTGGCTGCTTGAATTTCCGCAAAAGCACTGACGATCTCATGTAAAATCATCAGTGCTTTTCCAGAAATACTATGTTGCTCCCGTTCAGGCAAAAGTCTTTTTCCAAAAAACTGTTGCACGAAAAGGCAGTGTAGACAGCACAGTAGTGTTTTCCGCAAAAAAGCCCCGATCGTGAAAATGGCGTTCGGGGCTTTTTTGCGGAAAACTGCGTCTAGATTGGCTGTCTTTTCCCTCAAAAGCATTTTCAGAAATTCATGCCAGCGTAGATGTAGCCTTCATGAAATAAGGGTTACAGGAGTCGGAGTAAGAAATCCTCCATTTTGACCTTATTTCAAAGTATTGGCTTGCTGTGTAGACGTGCTGTTTGTTATTCTGAAATAACGCTGCTGTATAGACGTACCGTAAAGTGCCACAGGACCAATTGTTACATTATTTATGTAGAACCCTGTTCAGTCAAATTTCTCATCTCTAATTCTGTTTTTGGTTTCAGAATGGCGAAGAGTCCTCACACATCCAGGTAATGGACGTTAATAGAGAACCGCGGTTCAAAACCTATCACTCAGGAGGAAAATGTTCCCCCTGGCATGTGTGAACGGAGCAGGATGGGACGCATTGTTATAGGACACTGTGAGGCCAGATGGGTTGTGTAGCTGGGGCCAATCAGACAACAGCACGTCTGTCTGTTATAGCTGCTCTTCTTTCTACCCTCTTCTTGTACGTGCGCTGCCAGGTAGAGTGCTGCAGGGAGACTGGGAGCCTGTAGTACCTACTAATGCAACAGCGGGTAAAAGGGTCTTTGTTGCAGATGGACAAAACTAACCAGCCTGCAGTCATGTGCAGGAAAACACATAGGCTATGTATACACTGGCATGATTTTCCGAAAATGCTTTTAACGGAAATGTTTTCCATTAAAAGCATTTTTGGAAAAGCGCGTCTAGATTGGCAGGATGCTTTTTGCGGAAAAGCGTCTGTGGCCAATCTAGACGCGCTTTTCCGCAAAAAAGCCCCGATCGCCATTTTCGCGATCAGGGCTTTTTTGCGGAAAACAGTCCTGTGCTGTCTACACTGGCCCTTTTGCGCAAAAGTCTTTCGGAAAAAGACTTTTGCCCGAACGGGAGCAGCATAGTATTTCCGGAAAAGCACTGATGATTTTACAGGAGATTGTCAGTGCTTTTCTGGAAATTCAAGCGGCCAGTGTAGACAGCTGGCAAGTTATTCTGGAAAAGTGGCTGATTTTCCGGAATAACTGGCCAGTGTAGACACAGCCGGAATCTCTTGCCAGTTTGTCGTAAATAGAATGGCAATAGAAAGCAAGTTTTTTCTCCTCCCCCATTTGATACACTGTATCCTCTGTGCTCTGGGGTTCCTAATTCGGGAACGCTCGTGGTACGGACCCTAGCAGGGGGAGGAGAAAGAGGCCCTGCGTGCTGCCTCTCTCCCACCCCCAGCTGGGGGAACAACAGCGCAATAAGCCCTCTTCCCCCACCGCTCCTACAGCAAGCGGGGGGCGGTGCCTGGGAATGGCGGGGAACGCAGAGTGCCAGGTAAGCGCCCTCCCCCCATGCTCCTCCCTGCTTCCCTGGCCCAGCAAAATTTTTCATGGAATCCTCGACTCCTAGGACTGGAAGAGACCTCAGGAGTCATTGAGTGCAGCCCCCTGCCCAAAGCAGGACCATCCCCAACTCAATCCTCCCAGCCAGGGCTTGGTCAAGCCGGGGGCTTAATCTGGCCAACGCTGAGGATTGAAGAGATTCAGGTGTACTGAAATTGAAGCGAGACAGGAAGAGATTTGATAAAAGTGGTTTTGACGCGGTGTAAGGGAGATTTGTTTTATTCTTTTAGGGTGTGTCTAGACTACAGGGTTTTGTCAACAAAAGTGGACTTTTGTCGACAAAACTATACCTGCGTCCACACTGCCTTTGAGTTATGTCGACATAACGTCGACAAAACTCAGCAGTTTTGTCGACGTATGTAAACCTCATTCTACGAGGAATAACGCCTTTTGTCGACAAAGTTCTGTCGATAGAAGGCGTTATTGCATCTACACTGTCCTTTGCGTCCACACTGTTATGTCGACAAAGCGGCTTGCTTTGTCAACAGAACTGGATGTAGTCTAGACGCTCTATGTCGACATAAGTTTTGTCGACAGATTCTGTCAACAAAACTTATGTCGACATAAACCTGTAGTCTAGACATACCCTTAGAAGCTGGGAACGAGTGACCAGGGAGGGCTGGCTTGAGAATTCCCTCTTCTGTTCCCTCCCTGTGGGGCATCTGGCCTTGGCCACTGTCCGCAGAAGCTACGTCTACACTGCGGGTTTTTTGCAGAAGAGGAAATGCAAATGGAGCGCTCATGTGCGTATGCAAAGAAATGTGCAAAGAAATTTGCGTATCTTCTTCCGTTCCTTTTTGCGGACGCAAAGAAATGTGCAAAGAAATTTGCGTATCTTCTTCCGCTCCTTTTTGCGGACGAGGTTTTTGCATTAAAAAGCCCCGTGTAGACTGGGCCATTTGTTGGGGAAAACCCCTTTTGCAGAAGAGCCTATAAACCTCATTTTTGGAGGAATAAGAGATCTTATGCAAAAGGGTTTTTTCCCCGACAAATGGCCCTGTCTACATGGGGCTTTTTATCGCAACAACCTCTTCCGCAAAAAAGGAGCAGAAGACAATATGCAAATGAGAGTACGAGATATGCAAATGAGCACTCCATTTGCATTTCCTCTTCTGCAAAAAACCCGCAGTGTAGACGCAGCCAGACAGGACACTGGACTAGATGGACCTTTGGTCTGAGCCAGTGTGGCCGTGCCTACGTTCTGTTCGTTTCCCCACCCCCATGAATGCGGGCACCCCGCGCCTTTTCTTCTCCGTCATCCCTTTCAGAGACTCCTTATTGTGCTTGTTTTGTTTTTTGATCTTTCCTCGCCCCCCTCCTTACCAGAGGGGTACGCTCTGAGCCATTAGACCTTCAAGCCTATGGAATGTAGGCCCGCTGCCGCACGGTGAAATCCTGGACAGCACAAAAACCCTGGCCCCAGGGGCACTGTTGCTGTCTTAAGACTGGAGCATTTCAGATGTGGCAGTTTTTTCCAAGCAAGCCAGGTTCAGAGGCGCAGGGCACTGACCCAGAGTCCAACCATGGGATGGCTGGGAGGCAGAGAAAGGGGGTGTGTGGCTGAGGTGGTCATTCACGTCAGCTCGCAGTGGGAAGAAGGGGGCATGGTTTCCCTAGATGAGGACGCGTCTGCACTGCGGGGCTAATGTTCAATTAAGCAACACCACTTCAGCTGGGTCTGGGATGGAATGGGCGGGGCTTGGGATGGAATGGGCGGAGTCTGGGATGGAATGGGCGGGGTTTGGGATGGAATGGGCGAGGCTTGGGATGGAATGGGCAGGGTCTTGAATGGAATGGGCAGGGCTTGGGATAGAATGTGCAGGGTCTCGGATGGAATGGGCAGGGTTCGGGATGGAATGGGCGGGGTTTGGGAGAGAATGGGAGGAGTCTGGGATGGAATGGATGGGGCTTGGGATGGAATGTGCAGGGTCTCAGATGGAATGGGCAGGATCTCAGATGGAATGAGCGGAGTTTGGGATGGAATGGGCAGGAATGGGCGGGGCTTGGGATGGAATGTGCAGGGTCTCGGATGGAATGGGCGGGGTTTGAGATAGAATGGGTGGAGTCTGTGATGGTATACTCGGAGTTTGGGATGGAAGGGGAGGGGCTGGGTCAGCCAGTCCTGAATGCTGCTTGGAATGTGCCACGTTACCCACCCCCGGACAGCCCTCAGAACCAACTGGAGCATGCCATGCGACGCTCCGGTGGCCAGGAGTCCCAGGCCCTTTGGTACCTCCGGGCCCTGGGGCAACTTCCCCCTTCACCCCTCATCCCGCTCCCAACCCCCATCGGCAGGCCAGCTCTCAGGGGAGTGAATGTTGTCTGCACTGTGCTGTGATCAGAGCTGAGGGGTAAATCCTGGAGGAAGGAAATTTCCTCATTTGCGCTGCAGCTGGGGCAGATCCTGTGTCTGACACCATCCAACCCTCCCCCAGGGCTAAGCACTGCCCCCTCACGCTCTGATTCTCTCTCTCTCCTCCCCCACCCCAGCGAAGGTGACTCTGGATCCGGACACGGCTCATCCCCGCCTCATCGTGGCCGAGGATGGGAAAAGCGTGAGACAGGGAGACACCCAGCAGGATCTGCCTGACAACGCCAAGAGATTCGACTATGAGTGCTGTCTGCTGGGCCGCGAGGGCTTCACCTCAGGCTGCCATTACTGGGAGGTGGAGGCAGGGGCTGGAAAGTACTGGGCCGTGGGGGTGGCCAGAGACTCGGTGAGCAGGAAAGGAGAGTTCATGTCTGACCTCAACCCCGAGAGGGGGATCTGGGCCATAAGGCTGTACGGGGGCCAGTACCACGCCTTCACCTCCCCAAAGACTCCTCTGACCCTGAGGCACAGCCCCAGCCGGATCCGGGTTTGTCTGGACTGCGACCGGGGCCAGGTGGCATTTTTTGATGCTAAGAACCAGGCCCCCATCTTCACGTTCCTGCCAGCCTCCTTCACTGGAGAGAGGATCCACCCCTGGTTCTGGGTCAGAGGGGGATCCCAGCTCAGCCTGTGTCATTGAGGCACAGAACGTAAGAACGGACAAATTGGGTCAGATGAAAGGTCCATCTAGTCCAGTATCCTGTCTGCTGAGAGTGGCCAATACCAGATGTGCCAGAGGGATGGCACGCAACAGATAATCCTCATGGGATCCCTCTCCTGTCACTGATCTCCAGACAAACAGAGGCAAGGCACACCATTCCTACCCATCCTGGTGATTAGCCATTGATGGACCTAACCTCCATGAATCTATATAGCTCTTTTTTGAGCCCTGTTAAAGTCCTAGTCTTCACAACATCCTTTGGCAAGGAGTTCCACAGGTTGACAGTGCGCTGAGTAAAGAAAAACTTCCTTTTGTTTGTTTTAAACCTGCAGCCTACTCATTTCATTTGGTCACCCCTAGTTCTTGTATTGTGGGACTACGTCAATAACTCTTCCTTATTCACTTTCTCCACACCAGTCATGATTTTATAAACATCTATCATCTCCCCCCCCCTTAGTGTCCTCTTTTCTAAAGTTGTCAGTATTGAGTAGAATGCTTCTTTGGATCTAATTTACCTGAATTAAATTTTTGCCTGTAAATTTTAGGATCACTCCTTAGGTCTGTGGTTCTCAACTGGTGGTCCAGGGTGACTTTTCCGGTGGTCCACAGGAACATTGTCCTAAGTCACACGGTGTGAGCAGGCACCGCCGTGAGGCTGTTTTACGCCGTGTTCACAAGCACGCGTTGCATCATCCATAGTGGTCACCTAGGACGCAACTGCGTTGTGTTGCCAGTAACTTCCATCTGAGGCTCTGAGCGTCAGTGTAGCTGCTGCCATCGTGCTGAGTGGTTGCTGTGTCATTCGTCCTGTGCTACGTGTGCTGGAGGTGGTCCACAAAAACGTTCTGATCGGCCTGGTGGTCCGTGGACTGAAACGCGTTGAGAACCACTGCCTTAGCTAGAGTTACAGTTTGCAGGCACTGAAATCTTTGCAGGCTATTGCTTTCCACACTAGTGCTCATTCCAGGCCGGCAGAGTGGTTCCTGCCAGCTAGGGCAATGCCCACTTTCTGATGCTGAGGGGCGTGATTTTAAACAAACTGCATCTGTGACGCTATCCAGAAGGAGCCAGAACTGAAAAGAGCCCTGTAAAAACGGCTGCAAGAGGATGCTGCATATTCCACCCGGCTGCATGGTTGACAGGACCGCCAACTGGCATTCCCTGTAAGCTGAGCGCTTGGACGGCCCCCAGGAGAAGTTCGAATGCTGCCCAGCTGATGAGCAGAGCACCCTCGGCCGGCAGTGTGTGTTTCCTTCCAGTGGTGGTGCACATCTACACGTGCCTCAGTGCACATAAGATATGTTCTGCACGTGCATGGGAAAAGTTAGAGGAAACTTTGTGGTTCGCTGTAGATACAGCTTCTTTTGGGGCTGCCGGTGTCCCTGTTGAGACAGTGAGCTGAGCCCAAACACAAAGATAACAAAAAAACAAGCGGCTCCGTTCACAGGCAGCAAGAGGGGATAATGCATATCCAGAGCAAAGGATGCTCCTTAAAAGAGAAGGAACCATCCGTGCCTAAATTGTGGCCTCACCCCCCCTCCAGGCTTTGACCCTTTTCTCTGAACTCCTGCCATCATAACATCTGTTCTTTCCAAAGTCCTGCCCTTTCTAATATGTATAGTTGGGATTATCCGTATCAAATGATGGGGAATAAATTAGCTGTTACCACTCAAGAGAGAGAACTTGGCATCCACTCAGTGTGCAGCGACAGTCAAAAAAGCAAACAGAATGTTAGGAATCATTTAAAAAGGGATAGAGAATAAGACAGAGAATATCTTATTGCCTCTGTATAAATCCATGGTAGGCCTACATCTTGAACACTGTGTACAGATGTGGTCGCCTCATCTCAAAAAAGATATCCTGTCACTGGAAAAGGTTCAGAAAAGGGCACACAACCATCTGGGTGTGCAGGGGAATGGCCGACATGCAGAGCACTGCTTTTCATTGGTCTCATCCGTGGCCAATCAGAACTGATGTCATACTGACATGTCTATAATTATCCACGTCACCTGTTTACCCTTTTTTAATGATCGCCACAAAAATAACTTTCTTCCAGTTGGCTGGAACTTTCTCATTGCTCCAAGACTTATTGAAAATTAGCATTAATAATCCAGTGAGCTCCTTGGCCAGCTCTTTTAAAACTCTTGGTTGAAAACCTGCTTACTTAAAAAAAATTGTTTTGCTTTAATAGCTTCTGTTTAACATCCTCCAGAGACACAGCAATAAGTAGCTTATACCATTCAACGTACATAAATCTTATGAGGCTTAGGATAAAAGCAAAGGAAGGGAATACGCCTTCAGATGTCATTCGCTAGAGGCCCTGAAAAGGAGAAGGATTTTCAGATTATAGTGGAGGGGAAAACCTATCTGAGAACTTTGGCAGAGTGAAGAAACCAAACCCCAAACCAGACACAGCTGTTCTGCTTTGAACATTATTAACTGTAGCCTTTTGTAATGGACAAGCAGATTGTGAATATTATATACGGTGCTAGTCACTGTATTGAAAGGACTGGAAGCTATAGAGGATCAGCCACAAATGGCAACCACAATGACACAGGGGCTGGAAGGTTGGGGGTGTTCATAAAGGCTAGGAGAAAAAATTTTTTGGTGAACAGACATAGTTCAATGGCTGAACTAACCACTGAAAGGGATTTAATCATGTCTGTCTCTGTTTTCTACAGAGCTGCCCTCGTGATACAAGTCTACACTCCACATTTAGGGTGCTTCTACACTGCAGGCCTTAACTGGAAATAAGCTACGCAAATTGAGTAGCTTATTTCAAAATAGGGAGCTTCTACACAGCTTTAATTCGAAATAGAGCCCTCTTCCTCCAACTTCCCTTATTCCTCGTACAGTGAAGGTTATAGGAGTTGGAGTAAGAAGTTCCCTAGCTTGACAGTATTTGGACACTATTTCGAAATAACTGCCTGCTGTGTAGATGCCGACACAGTTATTTTGGAATAGTGTTGCAGTGTAGACATACTCTACACCAGAGAATTCAGATGAAACAAACAAGATGTTCTTTCATTTAAAAATGTGCTATTCTGTAACAAATAAACGTTGGGATTAAAAGGAGCAGAGAGGCCCTTTTTAACACCAGAATTGATCGGAAAATGCCCATGAATGCTGAGACTACTTTTATTTAAAGGCTCTGAAATGATTAGTGTTGCAGTGTAGACATACTCTACACCAGAGAATTCAGATGAAACAAACAAGATGTTCTTTCATTTAAAAATGTGCTATTCTGTAACAAATAAACGTTGGGATTAAAAGGAGCAGAGAGGCCCTTTTTAACACCAGAATTGATCGGAAAATGCCCATGAATGCTGAGACTACTTTTATTTAAAGGCTCTGAAATGATTTCCATTAGCTAAATGGGGTGGATGCCACTTGAGAATAATCTTTGGTTTTTTTTAACGGTTTTTGGTGAATGGCCACGTTTTACTGGGGATCAAACCCCATTCTATTAGCTTTACTGGTAAATGGCAATTGGATACTTGCAACGCGTAGGGTGTGTGTTACCAGATTAAGTAGAAGAAAGGTTGGTGATGGTGCTCTGAGCCTGCACAGCTGCGGGCTGCTGGAGATTGGAAGGAAGAGGCCAAGTAGTAGAGGCCACGTGTGGGGTCACATGGCTCCCCAGATTCCCATGGTGTGGCCAGGCTCCCCTCTTGTTAGGGAAGCTGAGCACTTTGCAGGGAGAGGGGTAGGCAAGAGGAACAGCTGGGTGGTGCAAGTAGGGGGCGGCTGCTTTTCACAAAGGAGGAGGCTATCTGGGTGGAGGGGCAGAGCTGTCCTGACCATCAAATGGAGATTGCCTATCTCCTAGAACTGGAAGGGACCTTGAAAGGTCATCGAGTCCAGTCCCCTGCCTTCACAGCAGGACTAAGTACCATCCCCAACAAATTTTTGCTCCAAATCCCTAAATGGCCTCCCAAGGATTGAACTCACAACCCTGGGTTTAGCATTAGGCAAACTGAGGTAGCTGCCTCGCCAGACAGGGGGGGCACCACTAGGACCCAGAGAATTGAGACCTTTGAAAGTTTTGCCCCAAGTGAGGGGAATGGGGGCATCATTTGAGCTCGCTGCCTCAGGTGCCAAAATGTTGAGGTGCCGGGGGGGGGGAGGGGAGACAGACGGGGGGGGGGCGGGGAAGGGAGACAGACATGCTCAGCTAGTTAACTCCTCCCCATTAGTCTGCATGGGTCATCTCTGCTTGGAGGGGAAGCTGTAATCGGGGCCGAAATTGGAAGGGGGTTGCACCCTGGATGCTGGGCCTAAGGGGAGCTCCCCGAATTCTCTAGGGATGCTCCTAGTGAATGGCACCTCCTAGTGCAGTGTTTCTCAACCAGAGGTACCTTTAGGGGTACTCGGGAGAAGTCTTGGGGGGGCGTACGTCAACACAACTGACATTTGGAGAAAACTGAATTTTTGTGTTTAGTTCAGTGACACGCATCTGACGAAGTGGGTCTTTGCCCACGAAAGCTTATGCTCCCACACTTCAGTTAGTCTAGAAGGTGCCACAGGACTCCTCGCCGCGTTTGCAGATTTAGACTAACACGGCGACCCCTCTGATACTCGTGTTTAGTTTGACAGCCCTTTATTATTGTTGGCCTTTTAACGCCCAAACATTTCATTACCCGCCTGGCTACGATGAAGTTGCTTAAACAAATGTGTATGTGTTGTGCTGGGTAGGAAAAAAATGTGCGTGTCTGAAAACTGTAGGTACTGGGGGTCCTTATAATTTTTTTAAGGGGTACTTTATTTAAAAAAAAAAAAAAAAGTTGAGAAACACCGTCCCGGTGCTCTGGTTTTCCAGCCAGGGGTTGTGACCCAGCACTGGGAGTGGAATGTCAGACCCTGGGTCTCCTTGCTGCAGGCGGATCAGGTGAGCACAGGGGGGGACGGTGTCTAAGTGTTGCAGGGGCTGGATACAGGCAACTCACTGCCTAGAGAACATGAGAATGGCTGGGAGGGGCTAAAGTTGAGAAACACCGTCCCGGTGCTCTGGTTTTCCAGCCAGGGGTTGTGACCCAGCACTGGGAGTGGAATGTCAGACCCTGGGTCTCCTTGCTGCAGGCGGATCAGGTGAGCACAGGGGGGGACGGTGTCTAAGTGTTGCAGGGGCT